TATCGGTATGTTTTTTAATCTATCCACATTAAATCGAACAATTTTCTTATTTTTATTATTATTGATTATATATCTCGTCAGATGATACATAATTTGTAATATTTATATGCAAATTAAATGCATTTCCGACAATTTCATAAACTTTAATAATTAATTAATATTAATATCCTATTGTTTTAAAATTATTTTCAGGTGCTCGTTTTGCGCATTATCAAAGCAAGGTGGGTCTTATCACGATTCTGCGTGATCATAAAGTTGAAGTTTGCGCGAAAACGTTGATACCGTATAAATCCGAACCGCGAAATATCTTGATGATACCGAAAGGAGGAAAAATAGAGTTGAAAATAACGAAAGTTTAATTATTAATATATTTATTAACATAATTATTAACATATTTATCTTAATTTTTATGTTTTTTAATATTTTTTAATATTTTTATGCTATTAATATTTTATTATATTTTATTTATATTTTAATGTTTAGTTTTGGAAAGAGATATTTTTAAAAAAAAATGTTCAACAAAAAATATTTTTACAATCTAATTGGGAGATATTAATTCGCATAATTAATATTAAAACGAATGTTTGTATTTTTCATTTCGTTTTGTATTTGCTAGAAAGTTCTTAGAAAAAAATCTTTTTCGAAAAATAAGTATAAATCACTATAAGTCTATTTCGTATAATTATTACATAAACTATATAATACTAATAATTATAATATAATATACTAATTATTACTAAACTTATATAATTAACATTATAATTATATATATAGAAAGAGAAAAAAAAATAAGAAAAATATATTTTGTAATTTTTATAAAATACATTGATAATATTGTACGTTGATATGTCTTATATGATTTCGATATAACAAATTATAATACAATTATAAAAAGTAAGTTTTTATAAAATAGTAAGTCTTTATAAAATAAAATATACGACATAACATTTCACATAATTTGAATGTAACATAAAACAATTATTTTATTAAACAATAAATAACAATACATAAATATAATTACTTTTTTAAAATTTTAAATTATTTTGTATTTTTTTATTACGTTTTATAATTTTTTTAATATATTGACTTTTAAAATAAAAAGTTAAATATTGTGAAAAATTACAAATTTGTATTAAGCAATGCAAAACAACGAGAAAATATATATATATTAAAATGAATTTAATTTATTAATTCACAATTTATATTTTTAATGAATTTAAATGATAAAAAATATATATATATTATATAATAATATGTAATAAAGATTAATATATCTAATTCAAATATTACATAATCTATTTATCAAGTCATATTTACTTTTGTAATTATTTATTACATCACATATAGAAATTTATAATATTAATATATAAAAATATAATATTAATATAATATAATATAATATATAGAAATATGTAATATTAATACATAGAAATTTTGTCAGATTATAAAATAAGAATAAAAAATATGATAAGTATTTTCTCATTTTTGAAATCTTATCGAAATATTTATCAATAACTTAGTAGAATTTCAATAGATCAGTGTTTGAAATAGGAATAATAAGATATAGAATGTTCTACGTAGAAATATAGAATTTAATAAATAATATTTTCGAAAATTCATGTGCGTTTTCTTGATAACAAATTTAACGAGCGTCATAAGATCATTCTATGATTACATCTTTTTTATTTTTTTTAAAAACAGATAAAATATGCAAACATTATTATGAAATATATGTGAATATCCACAAATTTTTTAATTATCTCAATTCAATAATCAAACCATTATTTAAAATATGACGAATATTTTTTTCATCATGATTCATCATGATTCATTCCTGCATTTAATCATAAATTTTTCTATTTTTAATTTTAATTCTCCACTTCAACAACATATTAATATAATAAATCATTTCGAATAATATTATTCTTGCGAAATTAAACTTTGATATTCAAATTAAAAATTTAAACATTGAATAACAAAAATATAGTGTAATCAACACAACTTTTATTTATTCTTAGAACCCTTTATCAATTATTAATAATTTATTTTGCAATTCTATGAAGCCTCATTGCATTGGTTTTGGTTTTTTATTATTATCTATACATTTATCTTCAATTTTTGAAAAAATTCTGCAGTTGTTGGACAAAAACCGACATTTTCCTTTACGGATTTCATGCTCTTGAAAATCCAATTGAAATTTATATCTATATATCTAAAGAAGTTTTATGATATATTTATAAACAACTCAATAATAGGAGAGAAGATCATCTACTCTCATTCTGAAAAATTCAAAAATTGATAATAAGATCAAGAATATGATAGAACAAAAAAAATACATTCATAATCCTATATTATAAATGTAAGCTTTCCTGTAATAAAGATAAAACGTACATTATCTGTGTTTGTATTATTCTATTATAACAATATAAATTGTATGTGTCTACACAGATGAAACAAATATCGATATATCTTCTCGATTTGGAACCAACAAGATGGCGTCCTCGCAACAAAACTCATATTGTTCTCATCCGAAAGATTAAAAGATATATCTAATTCTCGAATGTTCGAAAAAAAAGTAATCAAAGTAAAGCCGAAAAGAAAGAGCTCATTTATATTCGGGAGATAACGCGAAATATACGAATAAACGCGAATAAACGGATATGATTGGAAATGAGCGCTTCGAAGAGAGAGCTAATGTTAATCAAGTCGATAAACAAAGTTTGGCATGGGTTTTTAGAAAATATAATACGTCTCGAAAAACTCGAAACAATAGAGATCGAAATTGTATCATTTGTTGTTGGATTATAACACGGCCAACATGAAATTTCTACCTACATTTTTCATCAAAATTGTCACGAACACCATAAATTATGGAAAAAAGGAATACAAGGTTGACTTTATCAACATGGAATTTTGTGACAAAGATATCGATAAGTTTATAGTAAAATTAGTATTTATTAAAATTAGTATTTATTAAAAATTAGTATTTATTAAACGTAACAAATTTTATGGGATATTTTATAAGAATAATGTGAAGGAAAAATATAAAGAAAAATAAAATATCAGAAGTTGGAATGGTTTGATTTTATAATTAATACAATTGAATTATTTACTTTTGATTTAACAAAGACACTATCTATAATTGCGTAAGCAATTTTTTTATTTTCTTCTCTTCGAAAATAATCGTTTATCAATAAATATAAGCAATGCTTTTTACGCATGAATTAGAATATTCAATGAATATTGAAAATGAATTAAGCGAGGCACGAGAATATAGTGTCAAACACAATGGGGAATCGAAGTATTAAAATATTAAAAAAATACTTGGAATACTTTGACAAAACACTTTGAAAGATAATAATTTTTATATTTAACTTAATTGATTATTAAGTCGAAATATTATTAAAATAAATAAAAATTTATCAAAATTTATCACAATGCATGTAATATGATAGATTATCAAGACTAATTTGTTTTTCGTTGTGTCGCATGCACGATTATTTTATAAAAAAAATAGTTAATCGATATGAGCAATGTAAGTTTGATATAAGATTGTTTTTAAATAATAATAGACTAATATAATATAATAATAGACTATATATATATTACATTGTGCTAATTTTCTTTTCTTTAAATTTTGCAAAAATTATTATATAATGAAATTAATGTTCAAATTCAACATCATATGCTGTTGCTGAAAAATATGTCATTTAATTTATTTTCGCAGAAAAACAACGAAATATCCACCAATAAAGTAAAAAGAAAATCAATTTTCGAATACACATTTAGAATTAATGTATATACGATTATCGTGATCCTTATATTTATCCAGAGGCTGACAAGTTTAATTGAAAATTTCATTCAAGAAGCAATTGAAGCTCGATATCTAATATAAAATGCACTATTTGTCATTTAGCGACGAACTAAGAAATTGTATCGATATGTATTATTATATATATATTTTTCTATTGTTTTTATATGTATATATTTTTATTTAAAGATTATCAAAATTATCGAAGGAAAAGAAAAAAAAATATATATTTTTAATTTGATATCGCTTTCATAAATTGAATATATTATTTTTACAGGATTATTTATTGTAAAGTCAAATTTTTTAAATAAAAAAAAATAGATATAAGGTTGCTTATTAATTTGTCGTTAATAAATCATCATAAGAAATTGTTGTAATTTATTTATTGTTGTTATTTTTATTAATCATTATAACATTTTTATTAATCATAGAAAAAGATTTAAAGAATTTGTGTAATTAATTAATGATAGATAAATTAAATTATATTATATTGAACATGGAATTTACAGAAGAATAGAAGAAGAATTTATAAAAGAATAATTCGTAAAAAAATTACATTTTTACTTTTTGTTATTTTCAAAATTATTTCTCTTTTTGGAATCTGCAAAATGCATGTATGTGTACAAAATTCATAGAGAATCATAGTTTTCTTTAAGATTGATTTAATCGCAATTAGATTAAATATTAAATAAGAAGAGAATAACTAAATAATAATAAAATTTATATTTTTTTAAATATAATTTTTTAAATTCTAATTTTAAATTTTATTACATATGTTATTTCTTTTTGTAATTCCTATTGATAATAAATAATATAATAGAATGATAAAATTTGTAGACAATATGTCAATAATCAAATTTTCGAAATGCAGGAAGTACACGTGCAATTTATATCTTTGCAAAATGATGTTTAAAAGCTTAATCACGTTTTAGTAAAATATATTTTTTATTAATATTTAAGATTTAAGAAAAATGTTTGATATTTTGCATTAATCTATCAAATATAATAAATATTGATTCTGAATTATCAATAATTATTATATAATTATAGTTTATTTTATTGTGATTAGCTTTATTTATTCTATATGTTATCATAGCGTTCAAATATGTTACAAAGAGAGATCATTTTAATAACATATTAACAAATCTGTATTTGAAATTATTTTAAAAATAAATTAATTACATCATTAAATTTTCCTCTTATATATCTACGACATGTGATGAGGAAAATTATAAAATATGATAATTATATGAAATATATTTATTTATATCTTCTTTATGGTTGTATGTAAATGTTATTTGTGCAACTAATTGTAATAAAAACATGTATATCTTTTTGTTTTATTCCATGATATATTATCTATTGTTTTCTTGGCTTACAAGTTTCCATATTGTTCTATAGCATATTTCCTTATTATGTCGAATCTCTGTTTATCAACGGAGCCGTTTATATCAAGGTTAATAAACTTTGAAATTGTTAATAAATTTAATTCGTGATGTCAACCATTATTAATATTTTGTATTGCACATTGCTTTTTCTTCTTTATTACAGGGCAGATTCATCTTTTCATATAATAAATTATTATAATGCATATTTTTACAATAATGTATATAAATACTCAAAAAAAAAAATGAAAAATCTATTAATTTATCGTTTAAAAAATATAAGAAAAATGTATTTTTAATTAATAAGAATATTAGGAATTATTATATTAAGATCATGAGTTTTCTATTATTATTATATGAAACATTATTATTATTATTATTAACATTATTATTATATGAAAAATTAAACCACTGAATGAATAAAAAAAATAACAATAAAAAATAACAATATGCATTGAAAAAAAATTATGAATTCGTTTAAAATTAGAAATAAAATATGGAATGCATTATTAATAAAAAATAATTTTTATCTTTATTACCTTAATTGCTTGAAACATGATATGGAATATCATGATCAATATTAAATTTTCATAAAAAAATTTTTATTTTTTACCATAAATTTATTAAATTTATTAAATGTTTAAATATTTTTGTAAAACGAAAAATATGCTGTAGTGTTATTTAATTTTTAATATTATTTTATTATATAAAATTAATTGAACAAATTATACATATCTGTAAAATATCTTTTTAAAGTTAAAATTAAGCATACATTATTATATATTCGAATTCTTTTGTAAATATTATATTTTATAAAAATTTCGTGATAAAGTTCTATGAAAACTTCTATGAAATTACGTACAATTTAATTCCAAATTAAAAATTTTAGATTAAAAAGTAAGTAATTGATATATTGTGAAAAAATTAACGATAACAAGTTTGATGTCATGATTTATCTAATTACGTAAATAAATATAAAAATAATAATTATTATTTAAAAAAATGTATTTATTAATGATATTTCAACAAATCAAGTAAACATAAATATTTTTAACAAAAAAAAAAAAGGTGAGCTAGCTCCATTCATTGTTAAAATATTAACAAATATCCAGAAAGATATTATCATGATGTATTTTATATATTTTCTTAATAATTAATTAATAAAAACAAGTAACAAAAAAAGTATCGATAACGATTAATAACAGTAGATAATTTTTTAATTTGCAAAAGAATATATTTCAAATAAAATATAAGAAATTTGTGCAATCGTTAACTTATAAGAAAATCATGTAGATAATATCGAAATTAGGGAACCAAGATTTATATAAAAGAAATTGATTACCTATTGAATGATGATACCTATAAATTAAATGATATCTTCAAAATATAAATATATATATATATATATGTAAATATTTTTACATGCATCAAATGAGTGTGAAGTCTATATTTTTCTATATTTTATATATTATTTTTTCTAAATTCTTCAGATGTATAGAAAATTCAGAAGCAAAATCATAATTAATGTGTCATGTTAAACAAAGTGAAAATATTATTCTACGTAAGCCGAGAATTCAGAGAATCGATTGATATTGGTTATGTACTTCATACGTCATTAAATTATTTTAAATTAAATCTGAACTGCACAAGGAAATAAACTTCGAAATGAAGATATAGAAGATTGAAAGAATATGTTATTTTTAAAACAAATTGAACTTCATAAAAAACATCAATCGAGATATATGCACAATATATAAGAAAGAGGAAATAAGAAAATCATTACATTACATAGAAGAACATTTTATAAGAAATGTATGTATCAATGAAGTGTGAATTATATTAGCGAAGCGTGAAGTGTAATTTATATATCAAAAAGTTGTACGAGGATAGATAAAAAGTTTGTAAGTCAATGTCTATTATAATTATTAGAAATATATTTTTTAATCCATTTCAAATTTCTATTCGCTTGTCCAATTCATTGATATTACTTTATACTTTATTTATTTATTTATTATATATTGTTACAATTCTTTCTTCCTTTTTTCTCTTCGAAAAACTAATTTGAATTTTTAAAGAAAAATTTGTCAATGACACAATGCGGATTATGTTTAAAGTATTTTTTTTTTTTAAAGAAAATTCTAATTTTTTTTTCAAAGGATGATTTTATCCCTTAAAAATTGAATGTTGCTACGAACGAAAAATAAGATTACATTGATTGTACGCGAAATTTTCTTTAATTCTTAGTTCCCTTGATTTTCCTTAGTTCATTCTTTAAACATTATATCGAATAATAATACCAAGCTTTGTATTTATTTTAATTTCTAGAATCGACCGTTTAAAAATATATTAACATTTTAACGCAGTGATTAAAAAAAGGAACGTGAGAAAATAATGGCCTATATTGAAATCTTATGCGGAATCATCGTGTCGCTTTTGGCTTTCTATTATTATTTCATATCGGCTTTCAATTTTTGGAAAAATCGTGGAGTCCCTGGACCAAAGCCAAAATTCCTATTTGGAAACATTATGGACATCATATTATCAAGAATTTCAACACCTATGTTTATTAAAAACATCTACGATACGTATACAAACGAGTCTATGGTCGGATTGTACATGGGACGAAATCCTATTCTATTTCTAAAAGATCCGGAACTAATCAAGGATGTATTGATCAGGGATTTTTCGAAATTCGCAGATCGAGGATTTAATGTTCATGAAAAGGTAGAGATTTTATCACTTTATCAATTAAAAATTGATTAATCACTTAATCAATTTAAATAAAAACAACGACAAATTGTGTAATGTATATATGTATTGATTTCTCAAAAATGATTGATTATATAAAAAAATTGGAAATTTCAATTGTACGATAAATTTTGTTCACAGGTAGAACCATTGTCGCAGCATCTTTTCAACCTGGAGCCAAAAAGATGGCGTCCGTTGAGATCGAAACTGTCCCCGATGTTCACATTGAAAAAATTGAAAGAAATGTTCAACCTGATTCTCGAATGTGGCCACCATTTTGAAAAATATCTGGACGAGCTTGCAGCGCAACAAGAGCCCGTCGATTTTCGCGAGGTAGCAGCAAAATACACGACAGACGTGATCGGTTCGTGCGCCTTCGGAATCAACATGAACGCTATGTCGAACGAGGAGAGCGAATTTCGAGAAGCTGGTAAAAAAATCTTTGAACCTACTTGGAACTCTATAATACGATTGAAATTCAAAATGACCATGCCAGCGTTCTATGATTTCTTGGGTCCTCTTATACCTGAAAAGGAAGTTACTCCGTTTTTCATCAAGATCGTCACGGATACCATGAAGTACAGGAAAGAGAATAACGTGTTCAGGCCCGACTTTATCGATATGTTGATGAAACTTCGCGATGAACCAGAAAACTTGAGCGATATCGGTAATAATCTTATAACTATAAACTATAATTTTCACCTATAAACTTACTAAACTACGCAACATTTTTCGAATGATACATAGTGTATAAGTGAATATAAACTTATACAAAATGAATTATAAATTCGTAGAATTGACCGATGCTTTCCTAACTGCGCAAGCATACGTTTTCTTCGCTGCTGGTTTTGAAACTGGAGCGTCGACGATTAGTAATACGCTTTACGAATTAGCACAAAATCAGAAAATACAAGACAAGCTGAGGGAAGAGATTCGGGAACATTACGATAAATACAAGAAAGAGTTAATATACGAGAATATTAAAGAGATGAAATACTTGGACAAAGTGTTTAAAGGTAGCTGTAATTGATTTTCAGATATATAACGAGTAATTTCGTTCTCGAGATCATATTTAGATTTTATTAAATTTTGTCACGTATACAATTTATATGCATGTACATATACAAAATGACAAATAAGAATGATTTTTACTTAAAAAATAATTAAAGGAATCAAAATTCTCTGTTATTATTTTTTTATTATTATATTAATGCTATCCTTAACAATATTTTAATATTTAAACAATATTTTAAAGTATTAATAAATTAAAATAAAGTATTTGTAATTTATTTTTACAGAAACATTAAGGAAATATCCACCAGGAACTTTAATACCAAGAAGATCAGTTTCTGATTACACTTTCAAAAACACGAATGTTACTATATCGAAAGGTACAATGATATGGATTCCTGCATTCCCGATTCATCGTGATGCCAACATTTATCCAAATCCTGACGATTTCAATCCGGAAAATTTCACCGAAGATGCTATTAATAATCGTCATCCCATGAATTATTTAGCCTTTAGCAATGGACCAAGAAATTGCATCGGTACCTTTTATTCAATTTCTAATTCTAATCTTCTTTATATTCGTTTCAAAAATAAAAAAAAAAATATATTAAAAATATTATTTATTAAAAAAAAATTTTACTATATATTCACTAAATTTCAACCATTAAATTCAGAAAAAATGAGTTCCAAGTGATAAAAATTTATTTAATTTTTGTTTTCTAGGTGCACGCTTTGCTAATTATCAAGTCAAACTCGGTTTAATTATGATTCTTCGTAATTACAAAGTGGAAGTTTGCGAGAAAACTATGATTCCCTATCAATTCGATCCAAATTTATTTCTATTAGGTCCCAAAGGAGGGATATATTTAAAAATAACGAAAGTAGAAAGTTAGTTGTATTATATTTTTATATAAACAACAAATTTTAGTTTCAATTACTTTGACCAAATAGTTTTTCTGTAAAAAGAGATAATACGCATATTAATTTTTAAGACTTGAATAAGAGAAATAAATGAGAAATAAATGACTTATACAATATTATATCATTTAAATATTATTTTGTTAATTATAAATTATATACGCGTAATATTATTTAAATTTAAATTATTGTGTATATATAATTATTATTTATTTATTATGAGATTATATTTTTAATATTTTATAAAAATAAAATAATTTTTTTATAACGATTCAAAACAGAATTTGCTATATTATCTATCTTAACTGTTTATCTTTCTATCTAGAATTCGAGTTAATTAATTTTAATTTAAATATCGTTAATATTGTTATTATATTAATTTAAATATATTCTAGGATTTAATTAAAATAATGACCAACTTATAATATAATATATTATTTATTAAGTAATATTATTAAAAACATTACAATTTCGAAAACGATTTCGAGTGTGTTTTTAAAAAAGTCAACAATATTTTTCAAAAAATTAATTTTTAATAAATGTGCACGATTATATTATAAGGATTTACTCAAAAACATATATTCTTCAATTACAAATCAAACGGAAAATATGAAAGGAATATAAAGCAGAGCTATAGAATTATGATGTTATAAAAAATATTCATGAAACTACATCGAATTGAATAAACAGGATGAATTTTTATCGAAATTAATTAGATACCGAATTAGGTTAATTAGATACGCCTATAAGAGATGTAACGTCATACTTGATATACGATTTAAAAAATTACCGATAAATGTTATTTGAACAATATAAACAAAAATTTATTAATGGAATCATAATAAAATTTAATTACAATTTCATATTGAAAAGAATTGAGGAGAAAAAATATATATAAAAGTATATATAAGTCATGTAAATCAATTGCCTATTTCTAATATCAATGAATGGAAACAAGCAATATGATGTTTATATAAATATATATATGTATATGTATATGTGTATATATATATTAGAAAGAAATCTATTAAGGATAGATAGAAATCTATTAAGGATATTAATGATCCAAGGCCAAGCAAATACAAAAATTAATATAGAAAAATGCCAATTGATAATTAATTAATTAATTTATTTATTAATTAATTTAAATAAAGTTAAAAAAACAAGTAAAAGTTTGGATTAGATAAAGCAAGATAAAGTTGTTATCGTTGCCCTATTGCTAAAGCCAAATTATCTCATTTCATTAAGGAAAAATTCATAACCAAACGAAATCTCTATCAATATTTTTTTATATCATGTATTTATGTTTATTTTAATATTTATAATTGGCTTTCTAAACATATAACAACAACAAATTAATTTCAATATTAACTAATTATATATTTCACAATGTATTTATGTATGTATATATATCATTCTAGCTATTATCTAATAAAATTTTATTATAAAATTACTAATTACTAATTACTATAAAATTAAAATTTATTTATGTTTTATATATATATCTTTGAATAATAAATAAAATAATTTTTGTCCAAGTTTATTTGATTTGAAGACTACATCAAATAAATATATAATATTTGCATATTTCCATAAATTTCCATAGATTAATAAATAATATTTCATTAATATTTACAATTACAGAAATAATAATAACAACAATATAGAATATTTTTTATAAATCTGTTATATAAAAAATATTTGAGTATGTTTTCAAGTTTTTTTATATTTATTTTTTCTCGCCAATTTATTTTTGCTTTTACTTTAGTCAATTTTTTCTATCTTCAAGAAAATTCCATCTCTAGGTGCCAATGTAAGTGAATTTATCTTCTTTACATAAGGAATCATCGTCTTTTCGCAAACATTTACTCTGAAATTTTGTAACATTTTTATCAATCCAACTTTTGTTTGATAAACGGCAAACCGTGCTCCTGAAACGATAATTTAATCATTAATTAAATTCATTAATATATAAAAAAAATACTATTTTAAATCTAAATAAGACTGATAATTATTCATTATATCGTAATCACACACACACAAAATATTTTGGTATTTTTCTTTACCAATGCAATTCCTTGGTCCATCACCAAATGGTAGATAGGTCATTGGATGCCTTGCAGCTACTGCATCCTCGTTAAATCTTTCAGGATCAAACACATCTGGATTTTCATAGAATTTTGGATCTGTTTGAATTGCATACAAAGGAATAATTACAGAAGTTCCAGCAGGTATCGATATTTTTGTATCATAGAAGGTATAATTAGAGTTGCATTTTCGTCTTAGAAGCATTCCTGGTGGATACTTTCTAAGTGTTTCTGTTAAAAAGAAGAATATAAATATAATTTTATCTTAATAATTAATATCTTAATAATATTGTCTTAAAATAGCAATTGTTATCTTATTTCAATTGTGATTGTTAATCTTTGCAGATATTTTAATTATTTTAATTATTACATAATAATAATATATTTACTTATTTGCAAAATCGTGTGAAATATTACTTATATATCGTTATATTGGAAATGAATTTAATCATTAAATATAATATACCTTTAAATACTTTGTCCAAATATTTCATTTCTTTGATATCCTCGTATTTCAGATTCCCATTATTTTTGGCATGGAATTCTTTCATTTCTTTTCGTAGTTTATCTTGTATATTAGGATTCAGAGCCATTTCGTAAAGAGCGTGTGCCATTGTCGTCGACGATGTTTCAAATCCAGCCGCGAAGAAAACGGAAGCTTGCGCAGCAAGTAAAGTATCCGTTATTTCTGTAAAATTTCGATATAAAATTATAGATACCTTCAAGAGATTTATAATCTTTTTTCAAATTCTATTTAAATTCTATGTTACTATGAATTCAATTTGTAAAATGATTCGACCACAAATTTTATCAATTTGTTTTTCGAGATAAAAATATAGATTTAAATATAAATTTAAAATCAGAATTATTTTATTTACTAATATTCTTTAATTTTTCCGGATGCTTCTTCAATTCCATCAATAAATTTACAAAATCTGGTCTCACGATATTATTCTCTTCCCTATATTTGATCGTTCCCTTGATTAGCTTGGTCATGAATACAGTTGATTCCGTATACGGTAATACGAAGCCAAGTAAATTATAGAAACGTGGAAAGAAATCTCGAAGAAAATTCCTTACAAATTTGATTATATTTTGATTAAAGATATTTTTCCCCATTCTACGGAATTCACTACGCTCGTCTGATAACGCGTTCATATTGATTCCAAAAGCGCAACTTCCGATAACATCTGTGGTGTATCTCGCTGGTATTTCGAAACAATCCACAGGACCTCCTCTTTTCACAACATCCTCTAAACATTGTTCCAAGTGTTCAGCGCATTCCAATATCAACGGAAACATTTCCTTCAGTTTACCAGAAGTAAATACCGGTGACAATCTCATTCTTAATGGTCGCCATCTTGTAGCGTCTACACTGAACAAATTTACTGAGAAAGGCTCGACCTGTGATAATTTGAAATTAAACTGATAACATTTTAAGGAATATAAAAATTTATTATTTTAATATATATATTTTATATATATATGGGAAACGTAAAATAACTCATTCAATTCGATTATCGGTGAATGTATTTTTTGAAAGTGATTATTGATGTTTATTTTTTGCAAAGTTAATAATAGATAAATTATTAAAATATATTAACAGATAGATATTATAAAATAAAATGTTATGTATATATATATATTTGCCGAGTAATTTTTTATCAAGACTAAAAAAAATTACTCCAAAAAAATTACTCGAAAATTCATAAAAATTAAAGTAAATTTCTAATGAATTATATACATTTATCAGAAGATTATTTTTTCTTAAGTTGCTATCTTTCTTTCTGAATAATCTTCATGCACAATAGAGCTTTGTATAATTAATAAAAATTAATAAGAAAATATATAATTCTCTAAATAAATATTAATTATTATTGCGAAATATATTAATTGTGACAGATATATTTAACTGTCTTTTATCATAAGAAATTGATAAAACTTTAAACTTTAACTTTCTTTTAAATATTTCGAAAGTACGCGAAGAGTTAAGAAAAACAGAATCGCAGATAAAAAAAAGTATACGTACTCGTTCGGAAATATTTAATCCTCGATTATCAAATATAGAGAAATCTTTAATTAAAACATCCTTGATGAGATCAAGATCACGCAAAACGAGATTAGGCGATCTGCTGATGAATATCCCGAACATTGCCTCGTTGTCGTATCTCTTATAGAGTTCCGTTATGAAGCTGCCAATTCCAATTTTTCTTAGCAGAACATCTTTAGCGTTTCCAAAAAATGGTATAGGTCTGGGTCCAATCACGCCACGATTTCTCCAAAAATCAAATTTCGACGTGAAGTAATAATATAAAGCGAGAAAAACCGCGACGAATGCGGTTAATATTTGAAAATAATCGAGCATGTCGATGATATAGATGAAACGAAAATCCGGTTTTAAAGTAGGTGTTCACTCGTCTGTTGCAATGTGGAATGACGAGATGAGAGTACAATTGATGTTCTCAACTTGAACCGACGACGAAGCTTCAGATTGATTAAATTTCTCATACTATTATATATTTATGTGAATGATTCAATTTTTAGATTTTTACGTCGCAATAACGATGCATCATTTTGCATGATTTTGCATTTTCTCGAAGAAAAAGCAAATAATGACATTAATTATTCTATATACTATTATATATTATATATACTGATAATTTTTTATATATTATATATACTGATAATGATATTTTGTTATTACATTAATTTTTAAAGTTATAGTCTACTCGTAAAAATTGTTTTTAGAATTTACAAAAATATATAGATTTTGATTATTAAAATAAATTTTAACTTATTTTCGTTTTTTAATCAGGATTTATCTTTATATTTATTTGATTTGACTTTGAATAGTAATTTAGTAACTTTAACTATAAATTAATAATTTATAAAATCTTAATTAAGATAAATTTTCTAATTTAAAATTAATAATTTTTTTAACATTACATAATCGATATTATAGATAAATGATATAATGGTACATTTTATCAGAAGTTACAGTCAGAGATTTCATATCTATATCAAACTGTCTAAATTTAAACAAAATTTTTTAGTGAATCATTATCTCGATAATAAAATAACTGAGTTAAATAATACTTATAAAATATAAAAGTTTTTTAAGAGAGAAACTCATCTTATACAAAATATTATACAAAATAATATGCTATATCTAGTTGTGCATTAAAAAATATATAATTGTTCTATTTAAAACAAAAATTGATCTTTCATATGACTTATCCGCATCCAGTTGTAAAAAAAGTAATTGAATCATATAACATACTTTTTATCTCAAATATTTTTTGATATTTTCTGTTTTTTAATTATTTTTTCTTCCATCCTTCTTTTTAGGAATTGATTGCTAGCGCCATCTGTTGATCAAAATTTCTTCAAAAACACTTAAGAGATGGCGTTGATTCGTATTCTATTACTCATGTATTATCACTCTATCTTGATTTTCTTGCTTTATCGTATTCTTATATTTATTTTAACATATGTATATTATCTGTTAGTTTAGCTATAAATTTTTTGAGATTAAATTAGTCATAATTCTTTATTTATTTCTCTCTATTTTGATTTTAATCCTCTGAATAAATCAATTTTCTTTTTCTTAGAACGTACAAACGTATTAATAAATAACGCTTTAATAAATGAATAAAAATATAATATTTTTCTAAGAAAAATTTTCTTTTACGTTAGTTATTATAATAAAATTTATTCTAGTAATATTGTCATTTTAAATTGTATTCCTATTTTTATCTTCAAATATATATTTTTATGTATAAATGTTTATGTTTCTTTTCTGATGCATTTGAATGAATAAATTATATAGCATATACAATAACATAATACATATGCATAAACATAATACAAATGAACTTATTTATTCAACATTTATCATTTAGTATAGTGCAAATGAAAATTCACACATATTTCTTATATGCTAATATTGATAATTAAATTTACATTTAGTTTTTCCTATGAAATTCGTCGTGAAATCATTATGCTGTGAATCATATTATTACCATTATATTATCAGATATTATCGGATAATATTAAAAATCATTAAACTTAATCAGAATATATCATATTTACAAAATACAATAATCATATTTAAACATAGATAAATCGATTAATTTATGCTTATTTTTTAATACTTTTTCTTGATATAGAAATTATTCAAATTTGTAAGAATAAACCAATAAAAAAATTTTCGTTAATAATTAGATTCAAAATAAATTTTTATTTTTTTTAATTATTATTATTATTATTAATTACTTCCTTTATCAAAATATGGTATACATTTTCGGAAAAAATCAAATAAAACTAAAATTAAATATAAAAAAAATATTAAATTCATTTTATTATTATAATATAACTAAATATAAATAATTTTAGTATAGTCCAAATTTAATTAAAATGAAATTTAGCTTTGTTGAACGCTTTTTCGCAATATATATACTTTTCAATTAATTGACCCTCACGATAAAGTTTTATCTTATCTATATAAAGAAATTTATAGGAATTTCCTCTTTCTGTCAAGATATTTAATTTCATATACGTTTGTAATATTATCTAATTATTAGATAATATATAGATTTAATTAAATTATAGATTTAATTATTAGAATGAATTTAATTATTAGCGTTTCTTAAAAATGTTATCAAAATTATTTCTCTCTAATTTATTAAATGTATCTTGAACACATTTAATCAATTCATCAATTATGGTTGGCGAAGTTTCGTGTTGTAATGATTGAATAGAGTTAAAAAACCCCAAATCGAGAACGTTTAAATCAGGATTGTTTAGTGGTTATGAGTTAAATTGAATATTCCAACCATTAGTAGAATCTGCAGCAACAATTATAATATTTTTATCATTATCAAAGGAATTTTTCAATTTTATTAATAGCACCATATTCTGATTTTTTTTTTGTTCTTCGTATACCGTAATAGCTGTTGCAAGATACCATAATGTTGTTCATGTAGTCAATTGTTTCGATTGATGCAATGATTATTTCATTGGCATTTCTTCTTTGTAAATTCATGTTATTTGGATTAAAATTTTTCATTTTGAAATTACAGCGGTGACTATTTTATTTTTCTTAGAAAAACTAATTTTTGGTTTTCAAATTTCAATTTAATTCAAAAGCAATGACTATCAAATATGTTAGGTTATTTTGCTCTCAATGTAAACAATACTAATACCAATATCAATAATGAGTATTGCTTTCGAAATTCTAGATAATCTAAGATTTTCTTTCGAATACCATATTTTTGGAGGGAACAATATTTATTATATTAATTTGACAAATAAATTTCTACATAGAAAATATTAACATTCGTAAGAAATAAATTCTAAAAGTAAAGAAAAACAAAATATATGTATTAAAATATATGTAATTAAAATGATTTATTTTATGTATATGATATACTATAATCTATAAATACAATTATATCTTATACATTATAAAAAATAATGTTTTGAAATAAGATATATTCTGTTTCAAAGAAAAACAATTGGATAAATTTGATATAGTTAATTCCTTCGAAAATAGATTTGTAAAAGACATGGAGTTAATTATACATTCTCAAATGTATTGATAGATGCAGTTATTCTTTATAAATATAATAAAAGAAAAAATCATTATAAGAAATCGTTAGTTTAACAGATTTTATTATAATCTAAATTTTGAAAGCTTATCGTATACAATACAAGAAAAACATAAGTAAAAAAGTATAGTTTCGTATTTTTTTATTAGATGGTATATTTTTATATTAGTTAATTGATATGTTTTCTTTAATATATAACGAACGGAATAACAAGAAATTTTAAATATGTTATAAAATAATTTTTATATCATCACCTATAGTATCTGTTTCCGCTATTCCGTGAAGTCAAATAAACCATTATCATCTCTTGCAAGTCATCATGAATATATTCAAAGACAGTTCAATATAAAGCTAGGATATCTTATACGCAATCAGTCTTTACAAATATATTCAAGCATGAATATCCTGTTGTATACTCGGTAAAGTGTTAAGTATAAAAATCCGTGTTTATATCTGCATATCAAACATATTTGTATATTTATATTTATACATTTATAATACAAAATAATACATATATTTTTATATTTATAACAAGTTTCATATTACAATTCGTAAGTTTAATTGTTATTGTTTTTATTTAAATATTGTTTTTATTTAATCTTCATTAGCTGAAATTAATACATAAATAAATTACAGAATGTTATAAAAAAATTGTTATTTTTTCATTTCTAAATACTTTATACATAAAATAGGATAAATATTTATATAATTTTTTAATATTAATTTATAGAATTTTTTTCATTTATACATGAAATTTTATATCTTGCTTCGTTTTACAAGTGTGTGTTATTTTAACAATTATTTTCATAAAATTTTCACGTGTTTCTTGTGTTATTCCCTGAATTTTTTAATTATTATTGTTTTGCAATTATTTAAATTATAATCAACTTATTTGTATTCTCTTTAACATATGAAAGATATCATTAAATCTATCAAATTAAATCCATTGAATCATTTAATTCATATCGTAAATTTTTATCGCAAATAGTAAACGTATTTAAAAAAGGCTATTATTCTTATCGCAGATAAATTATTAAAAAGCTATTAATTATACAATTTATAAGAATACTCAATATGATAATTTTACGCAATGATAATATCTTATTTTTAGAATAATAGATTTTATTTTTAGAATAATAGATAGAATAAATGTATATATTATACGTTTTAATTATTATTCTTTATTATATATTTTATTCTTTATTATATAATTTAATAATAATAAATTTAAATATTTAAATAAATTTTATTTTATTATAAATTTTTGGAAATAATACACATCAAAGATATATTATATTATTTAATAAATTTACAATATTAATTTATAATTTTTTTATATAGAATATTCTATATTTTTTTATGTAATATATTAGTATATATTTATAATAAATTATATATCATATCAAATATATATTCTTATTATGAATATAACAAATTTTTTTTTAGATAGCATCAGTTAGTAGTCTAGAAAAATTAATCTGAAATTATAAAGAAAAATGACGAGCAGTTTCGAAATTTTATGCGGCATTGCCATATTGTTTCTTGCCCTCTATTACTATTTCACGTCAACGTTTGATTTTTGGAAAAGTCGTGGAGTGGTTGGACCGAAACCTATACCATTTTTTGGCACTATGAAGGATTTGATATTGATTAAAAAATCGACGGCTCATTTCATCAAGGATATTTACGAGAATTACAAAAACGAACCAATGGTTGGTTTATACTCGAAAAGATCGCCTTTTCTTCTCTTAAATGATCCAGAACTCATCAAAGATATATTAATTAGAGATTTCTCCAAATTTGCAAATCGAGGATTGGGAGTTTTTGAAAAGGTAAACGAAACTCATAAATCTCAATTGTTAAGTTAAATTTTATTTAAGTTAATTTTAATCAACATGATAACAAACAATGACATGACTTTTTTTTATCATATTCATAAATTATATGCATAGAGTAGAGAAGCGATATACAAATAGACAATGAGGAAGAGAAAAGAGGATAATAGAACAGAACAAAAAAATCAAAATTATATGATTATTATTGTAGCGAAAAAAATTTATCTTTAATTTTTTAGATGTAACGTATACTTTAAAATCTTTCACGATAATTTAATTTTTTTTTTTTTTTCGATTAAATATCGATAGACGGAACCATTATCACCGCATCTATTAAACTTGGAAGTAGAAAGATGGCGACCATTGAGATCCAGGCTCTCCCCAATATTCACATCAGGAAAATTAAAAGAAATGTTCTATCTCATAATCGAGTGCTCGCTAAATTTAGAAACATATTTGGACAAGTTAATCGAAAAAAATGAACCCATCGAGTGCCGTGAATTAACAGCAAGATTCACGACCGACGTGATCGGTTCTTGCGCGTTCGGTATCGATATGAGCTCGATGACGAACGAAAATAGCGAATTCCGTAGAATGGGCAGAGAAGTATTCGCTGTGAACTTAATAAACGTTATGCGGTTGAAGTTGAAACAATTCATGCCAAGGTTGTACGATTTACTCGGTTATATAATGCCTGACCGAACATTCGCACCATTCTTTACACGAGTTGTGATGGATACAATAAAGTACAGAAATGATAATAACATTGTTAGACCAGATTTCATCAACATGTTGATGGAGCTCAAGAAAAATCCGCACAAATTGGAAAATATCAGTAAGTTTTGTGAAAACTTTGTAATTTCATGTTTTTTGAAAAAAGTAATTTTTATATTTGAGAAAATTATTCTTTATTGTTTATGAAAAATAATAGTATATTTTTAAAATTATTGTTATAATTATTTTATCACACGTTATATTATATTTAGAATACATATACATAGGATGTTAATGAAATATCTTTGGATCGATTTTAAATATTAATTCTAAAAATTAGTGTAGAAAAATATCGATTCAGCCTTATTTATTATATTATATGCAAATTTTATTCTAATTTAATTTTGCATCCTATATTAACGAATACATTAACATTTTATATTTTCAAAACTTATCATCATAAACTTTTAACAAATATTTTATTCTATAATGGTTTATCTTTAAAAGTAATTTTTTGTTTCTTTCTTTTTAGAATTGACGGATTCACTAATCGCAGCACAAGCATTTGTATTCTTTCTTGCGGGCTTTGAAACTTCATCGACGACTATGAGTAATGCTCTCTATGAATTAGCTTTAAATCAAGATATACAGAAAAAGTTACGTGAAGAAATCAATACATTTTGTGCTAAAAATAATAAAGAATTGAAATATGATGACATCAAAGAAATGGAATATTTAGATAAAGTATTTAAAGGTATGAGCAAGAACAAATATTATGTAAAATATTTCATTTCATTTCATTTCTCTTTACGTATGGGTTTTACACAAAACAAATCAAAATATGAAGAATGAAAAAATCTTTAATACTTATCATAATTATTGTCGTTAATTTTAATATTAGATATAAAAACAAAATTAAAAACAATAATTAAAATTAAAAAAAATAATTAAAATTATTATTGTGCGACAAATATATTGTGCGCATTCGAATAATTTATCTTTTTACAGAAACATTAAGAATGTATCCACCAGCAACAATTTTAATGAGAAAAGCAACATCAGACTATACATTCAATGACACGAAAGTTACGATACCTAAGGAAACCAAAATTTGGATTCCAGCGTTTGCGATACATCGAGATTCGGCTATTTATCCGAATCCTGATTCATTTGATCCTGAAAGATTCGATAAAGATGCAATGGCTAGTCGACATCCTATGCACTATTTACCTTTTGGCGATGGACCAAGAAATTGCATCGGTATGAATTAATTAATTGTTGAATTAATATATATATAATTTCTTATTGTTTATATTTTATTTATATTCTATAATTTCCAACTGTTAATTTTTATTAATCATTAATATTATATTATTTTTAGGTGCGCGTTTTGCGGTTTATCAAACTAAAGTTGGATTAATTACCATTCTTCGTAATCATAAAGTAGAAGTTTGCGAAAAGACAATAATTCCTTACGAATTTGATCCAGGTGCATTTTTGTTGAGTCCAAAAGGTGGAATATATTTGAAAATAACAAAAATATGAAATACATGAAAACATTGCATTCAAAAATTCTCAAAAATCTATTAAGTTAAATAAAATATTTTACGAGGACATAAATAATTAATTCTAATCAAAGGAAAACAAAATAATAAAATAATAATAAATAATATATTCTTATCAATATAATTAATTATTATAATTAGTTTTATTATTAAGAATTAGAAAAAAAAAGTAAGTTTAAATAGTATATTTTTATTAAAAGACAATAAATGAATTTAATTATTATAAATAATTTTCTTATATAAATTTTTTAAGCTCTCTTATACTCGAGTATGTGATTAATTAGAAAATTTATATAAAATGTTCCTCTTATGTAAAAACTTTTAATAAGATTTTCATTTTCCCATTGCAAAATTCAAAATATTCTTATTTATTATCTACTATCGTTCATTTTTCATAACTATGTTAAATATAGTATAATGTAAAAAGTATATAATTAATATTTATTAATATTATATATTAATATTTATAATTAATATGTTATGTAATATATATTATAATTAATATATGTTAATCAAATTGTAAATATTCATATTTGATGTTTGTAAAACAATTTGTATCATTAATATGAATGATTAAAAGATTTAAAATTGAAATAA